CACCTGATACACCAGCGGCTGGCGGAAATTCGTTACACAATGGTGAACCATATAACCCGGTTGTAGCTCTAAAAAAAGTCCCCTTAACCATATGCATTTCTTTTAGGGTGGCGCCGAGAATGTGGAAACGGCCCGCACTTACTACTCCCAGGCCCTGAAGCTGAACCCGCATAACTTGCGGGCTCTGTATGGAATTTACTTGTGCTGCAACTACTTGGCCAACTCCCGAGCTGTGAGCTCCAAGCGCAAGGAGCTGCAAAAACTGGGACAGTGGGCCCTCGAACAAGTGTCTGAGCACACCACCAAACAATCCACAATCAAGAACAACGACAAACTGATTCTGTCACTGGAGGCTGCCTTAGGAAACCTGGAAATCAAATCGAATTGACCAATATAATCACAAATGGATATCGCATATATTTGTGCAATAGATGCCAGAAAGTAATGATTCCAATATTCTCAGAAATGGGTTTCCAGTTTCTGTTTCTTAAGCGAGTTACATAGATAAACATTTAAAGAAGCGGGAGTAAAAAGAATTTTATAGTCAGTGCATCCGAGCGAGTATTTTTGATGTTAAAGTATCGGTGACGGCTTTTAACTCGGATAATTTATTGCCCTGAACATAAAGGTATGCGAAAACAGTCCTGTAATAAATTTAGAAAAATCAATTATCAATATTTAAAGACTTTCCTTTTAAAGCTCTTGTAAATGCAATACACCCTATTGCTTTTGTTTTTCTTATTTTCTCTTGGCTGACCTTAATTTCGAAAACAAAAGCTTTTATGCCCACGAACTTACGTGTGTAATAATTAATCGAACATTGAACGACATTCATAATGCTGTTAAAAATTTATTCTGAAGATGGGGACTGTTATATACGTACTGTTTACTTGACTATTCATAGAGTCCATTGACTCGTATTAATGTAAAAATTGCATTAATGTACTAGATTAATTCTCACTAGGCTCGTGCGTGTCCATCGCCATACAATGGCATACTTATATACGTATTATCATATGCATATTTACTTGCATCGCACTGTAGGTGCAATCGACGACTGCAGGGCATCCGAGGGCAGCGCTGATAATCCAGCGGACGGTTAAAAATAGTCCAACAATGGGACAGAATGCAATCAGTGGAGTGCCCCTCCCTCCATTGGCAGAGCAATTCAATTTGTCGAGGAGCCATTGCCGTAGGTCCGTCCACTGTGCGATTTCCTTGAATGTTTTGGCCGGAAGAAGTCCTTGAAAGTGAGTGCAGGTGCGGGCATTGGCTTCTCCGAGTTACTGGTGGAATCTTGACCGTGTCCTTGTGAAGAGGAGAGTGCCGTATGGCCTCCACTCCCGCTGTTAGCCGGCAGACCATCCAGATATTTCAGCTGGGGGAGAACTTGCAGGATGTAATCACGCGGTCCTTGGCCCCCGAAAACTGTCCGGATGCCAGGATTTCCCATGCAAGAGAGCTGATCTAAAGCAGGACACTGCCGTTCGATGCGGTGTATCCAGTCAGTGATGTTTGCTATATCGCAATTGTTAATCCTGCAAAACATAAGGTATTAGTACTTGGAAACCCTACTACAGAATCCCTCCAAATCACCACAAGATCCTCAAGCTTGGTAAATAGGGAAAAGTATTTATGTCCAGGTTCACATTGCGGTCCAGAATCAAGGTGTCCAGGTCCTCGAAAAAGGAGAGAAATCTTAGATTTCGGAAATCATTGTGACTCAAATCAAGAAACTTCGTCTGTGCAGCGAATTTGTCTGCCAGTCGTCGAGGTATGGTCTTTAGGTTCTCATAGGCCAGCGATATGCGTCCATTCTCTAGAATGCTCTCCGTAAAGGAAACATCTTCGCTTGGACAACTACTTATGGAAATGTTCCCACTGAAGGAATACGGATTTGGCGTTATCATTTTTCCCTCGTTGGATTCGGTCAGGAAAACGTCGTTATACTCGTAGTTTAAGCTCTCTATCGACTGGATGTTCGCACAGGTCCTGAGCACCTCCGTCAGGCACGGATTCAATGGGCTAGAATCGGGATATTAACACTATTATCTAGAATTTTGGGAACCCAACGACTCTCACCTGTCCTCGGAGTTGGAGCGTTCAGAGGTCGATGTTCCAGACATAACGGCGCGTAATCCTCATAACTAGTAAGTAATCCTCGCCTCAGAATATTCCAATTGGGATTGGGAGACCGTCAGAATATATTTATTTTGGTCCAAAGTCAGCGGCAGACTGAGGAAAAATTACACTGATTCTCGCTCCGAGAAGATTATCTGAGTCTTTCGCTCCCCAAGCAAACACAACCGAATATGTGTGTGTATTGAAACAATTGTCATCTCGGTGGTCACAATTACCCAGAGAACTCAAAATACACTCGAAATAAATTTTTGCTTAGACTTTTATTTTTAAATTTACAATATAATATCTTTATTGTTATAAGCAATAGTATGAATTATAAATAATAAATTTATTTTTATTTTAATAATTCCTAATTTTATTACAGTGTAAAATTAATCGCTCAGATTAGCAAGTGTAAATGGAATTATAATTTAATTTTAAATATTGAATGTATTTTTTATTTTAATAATTCCTATTTTTATTTCAGTGTAAAATTACTCGCTCAGATTAGCAAGTGTAAATGGACATACATACAAACATGGGTCGAAAACACCAACAAAACAAAGTACGAGGAACAGAACTCTATTGTTTTCTCTTTGTTGATGCTGGTACTCTGCCGTGGAATTATCTATGGACAGGGTATGTTAGTTCCTGGAAATGATTAGTATACTATTTAGGTACCCGTTTATTAATCGTCTTGTCAAATTTGATGTACTTTTAGTAAGAGCGCTTATCTCAACTTTTACGAATAATTTCAATACCTTTTATCAAAGTCGGAAATGAAGTGAAGTGAAATGCATTTTTATAAATTACTTGGTTAGAAACGATTGGTCATAATGATTAAGATGGGAACTGGCTATCAAAAGTATTATAAGTAGTCCCAGTAAAATAAAATATTTTTGCTTATTAATAACTTGTTTATGCATATTAAAAACCTTATTTATAAGGGTGTAAGAAGTGTAAACAAACTCTGTAAATATTGTTTACACTTTGTACGCAGTAAATTGATTTTTGTGTTTTTGTTTATATGTGCCAGAAGCGTTGACCGATTGTCAAGTCGATTTCAGGCGGAAACATAAGGAAAACGTGAAAATATGTTGCTATGTGACATTAATATAGCTTTACAGCACGGCACCAGTTAAATTTATTTTTACTTTGCCTATAAGGAGTCTTACGATTTTGTTCTGTGTTATGGTTGTGCTGTTTTAAACTTTTTAAAAATGTATATTAATAAAAATAAATGGATCTACATATTTTAACTATAATCGTTACCTAATATTTGATGGTTTGGACTTTAGAAGCTCCACTGTGGCTACACCTTAAATAGTGATCGTAACATTCCGATCTGATGTCTTTGGCTTTTCTCTAAGTTTTAATTCGAATCGCACACTCATTCATTAAGTTAATTTACTCATAGGCACTCGTAAGAGACTCGAACAAGTGGCCAAAGCAAGGCACTACTATGCCATACCACTAGACGATATGATATAGTGGAATGAGCGCGAGGGGCGAGCCCCCGGCGGACTTTCGCTCTCAGCGCTACTGAAACAATCGGCCCCCTCACGTACCGCTCGTAAAGCTGCCTGGTACTCTGGTACTGGGTTCCGCTGGGGCTGGAACGGAGCATGGTGAGCAATTGGTCGGCAGTCAGCTCCACGCTCTAGACCCCAATAGTTCGGCGCGGCCTACACGCGGCAAAAGCTCAGCAAGATCGATCCGAATCGAATCGAATCGACTTTTCGAGAGTGTGTGCGAGTGTTTTTTGCGGCGGTGCACAGCTGTTGACTAATTCCCAATCGGCGCTTGGCCTCGAGTTGCAAATCGAGTCACTTCAAATCGCAGCGGTAATAACAAAAACACGACTGGGTTTACATAAAAATGCAATTGAACATGCGAGCATAACAAAAACTGAGTTTGTTATTGATTACTCGGGTTGCCAGTGGCACCACCCCACCTCCCAAACAACCATAAAATCGATTCTGATACAGGGAAAAAACTTGTCACCAGACTGTGATAATGAAAGTTGAAAATTCCCTGTTTAATGACATGAAAACCATCTAATTTTAAATATGTGGGTCACATCCGAAATTATTCACCAATTCAAAAGTGCTTAACTTTAAAATGGTGTAACTTAATAACTGGATTAGTTTCAATGACACATCAAATTGACCATATTTGATTTGATATTTTTATTTGATTGTCAATTCGAAATGTTAAAAGTTTCCCATATTACTCAATTTTATTTTAATAGATGGTGAATATATTTTAAAAGGGAATATAGGTCACCAACCCTTTTTTTTAAATCATTAAAAATGAATATATTAAAATATTTTTTGTCGGTGCGAGAACCCCCACATATTTATTGATTAACTGACAACATAGTCGTACGATGTAGATTTGTATGTACAAACACACTTCAATATCAATTCACCGAAAGAGGTCTTTCGCTCTTATCGCGGGCGCGTGATTACCTCCAGTGAATTTAAATGCCGATTTTGTCGGATTGCGACTCGCAATTGTGGAAACTAACTATTTCCACCGTCTTAGCGGCTTTACTGTGGGACAGTGGAGCGTGGCTTGCGCAACCGTGCATGTGGATGTGCATAATAATGGCATTGGTCAAATCAGGTTTTGGCTTAAAAAGCTCAAAATGCCAAGAGTGTTGCCGTGACACTCTTCTATTTGGTGTTGTATTTAGCAAGTGTCCACTGTGGCCGGACGGACTCAAGTGGAAATGGGCATCTGCGAAACGAGTGAGTTCATTGATTAAAAGTGCTCAGCTGACGTTGCCGTTTCTTTGTGAATCTTATCAGAGCAGCAACAAAAATAGGAAAACCAATTAAAAACACCAATACATCTGATCGCTTGGGGCTTTATGTCATGCAAAGAGATCGAACCCGGGGCCATTCGTGTGTAAGCGGTGTATTATTGCAGATACTTGCGTAGTAGTCACAAAGAATCGCATTGTATAAGACCAAAGTCCACTAAAAAGCCCTGTGTCAGACTCGCAAATCGCCATAGACCGATCACTCTCCATGCCGAACGTGCGGGCAATCGCCAAAGTTTATTATCCGTTGGCGAAATGTGCTAAATTCGTACCGACCGGGCTAGAAACCAAACCAGTATAGTGTTTTAAAAGTGAGTAGGTAAATATTAGTGCTTTCCAACGTAAGCAAATACTTGGATCAAGGGTATAGTTGAACTGTCACCATGTGTGTTGAAGATCGAATGTTTTAAGAACATTAAATAGATCGTGTGGAACCAGGAGAATCGTTTTGTAAGCTGTCGTAATGCCGGATTTCAAGGGCAGTCTACAATGCGTGAATGCTAATTTGGCATTGCGACCTTTCTCGATGTCAGTTCGGAATACCGAGCACCAAGTAAAATATGCAAAAACCGCATTCAAAAACGTAGGCAGCATGTGTTCAGATTCTTGTATACCCCTTAACAACAGGGCGTATTGATTCATTTTACTTTTTCAGAAACACAATCAAGAACCCCGTATTATTATTTATCCAATTTTGATTTATTATACCAATCCAAGTGAAAGAGCAGTCTAAAAATAATGTTAAGTACCGGGTATCCGAAAAGACAATACGAAAATTTCAATTTGTTTGTTGCTTCTTTCTTTTGGTTTATTTTTATTTTCGGCCCGCTTTGCGTCATGCACATGAGGGAGTTTTTTCACAATCGCATCTGTTTTTATCCCAAACAGACTTCCTACAAATTTGGGTGTTAGCCAAATCGGCAGAGCCTAAAGATAAGGATAGTGGTAAATTAAATTAAAGTCCGTCACTTATCGTCTTGTTTTTCGACATTGGAGAGTATCGCTTGGATATCCGTATAAACAAGGTTACCTCTTCATTTAAAATATAGTCACGGTTCAAGGCTTTACGTAATTGTAAGTTAAAAATCTATGGAAATGGCCTGGGCCTACTTTGATAAAAAATATTAAAATACAATAAATGCTTGGTTACCAACTCACAGAAAATAGAAACCATTGAATTGCTTCTCCCTTTTGTCAAAAATAGCCAGTGACTCAATAAAAACTGAGAATTAGATAAGCAACTCTTTGGTAATTTCCTGGTCAACCGCTCGTTTAGTGCTTATCAAAATGGCAATATTTACAATTATTGATTACTTAAACACCCCGTGTGATAAACTTTTCGCCACCAGTACAAAGTGCCGAACGTGATTGATTTTGCCTTCTGCCCTCGTGTGTGGCACCACCTTTTCTCACAAAAAAAGACAGTAAAATAAAATCAATGCTGGCGACGTGTAAACAGAGGAAAGGTAAAAAGTCAGGTGGCGTCTTCCCACCTGCCAGCACATTTTTGAGGGTCTAGGTCTTAGCTGAGTGGAATTTCAGCCGACTAAAGTCTATGCGAACACACGCCGGGTTAATGGAATATCACACAGAAAGTACTCGTCATGTGGGAAATATAGCTTCACTACGGGCAGCGTCCAATTAATTCACTGGCGACATTTGAGCGATGGAAGGACAGGGTCATACACTTAACCGACGTGTTCCATTTTAATTTCGCGAATGTCGGGAAGTGTGAGTACTAATTGATCGTGTGCCTGGAATGCTAATTAGTTCGTCGTACTTCACCTAGAACGTGTGATTACTTATGGGTATCAGAACGTTTCTTGAAATACAATAACAAACACTTAATTTAATCGGTGTCTACATACGCAGTGCTTTTCAATTAATTTATTCAATGATATTTTTTTGTTCAATTTCAGGGTTTCGAGTTGAACTTACTCCCAAAAAGGCAGAATGACTGGATCAGGTAAATATTTAAATCGAAGCAATTAACTTGACATCAAAAAAGAGGATATTATACTTTGTAGACAGATCACATACATGTGGAATAAGTAATTTTAAATATAGCTGTTTTACTACTTTCATTTAAAATGTCATGATCCGTTTGACGCAATGTCAGGAAATACATTTTAAAGCATACTTATGGGGCACTATTAATTTTTGAGTAATGTAGAATCGTTGTGTATAATAAGGTTGGACGAGATAATAAGCTCGTACAGCAATAAACCATACAAAATATAAACGAATTAAAGAACATTTGGTAAATAATTTAATGGTCAAGATACTTTGTTGGCTTACTAAGTGGTATTTCAGCTTGTTTTTAATTTTTGTCTAATTAATCTTTCATTCTATGCACTCTTTCAATGTATTTTTATTTTTATTATATTTTCTTATAAATGAAAAGAATTAGAGCATCATCAAATATTCTAAATTAAACCTGTTTCTATTTATTAACCTTTTAGTCCACGATCCGAAATGGAGCCTGGAGCGCCGTGAGTCCTCCGGTCATTTGGTGTGGCGCAAGGATTCTCCGGAGTCGAAAGTCCGGTTTCGCTTCGACGTCGAGGTCCTGGAGTTCGAGAAGCATCCCCACGAGGAGTTAGAGGACAAGGAGGACCACTTCTCCATCACAAGTCTCTCGGCGACGGTGGCCATGTGTGCCACCTGTGTGGCCGTGGTTGCCGCCTCCGTATTCCTGCCCTGGTATTTAATGGAGAAAGTGGGATCGCTCTGAGGAAACGAAGCCCAAAAGCACAGACTTCTTGTATATAGGTACCTTGACGGTATTAAGTAGACTCTTGTACATAAACAAGCGTAGATTTATCTATTTGTAAATAGTACGTACGTTGTAAATAGACTCTAAACGCAGACTATGTGGTTTTTATAAAGTTAGAGTTTGAAAAACTCTTTGTGCAATAAGAGTGACTGCTAATGCCAAACTACGGAATGTGGATTGTATTTTAGGACGTGTAAAATTCTCTTAAGTTTAGTCATATGGAATATCACAAAGATAGTTAATGGAATAAACGAAATTACTTGCCCTTTAAAATGTGATCTTTTGTTAATGAAAAGAAGGATTGCATATGCAATATATGCACAGCAATAAACATTACAAGATCACGAGAATTTTGAACAGAAGCCGGTATAATAAATGTTTATCACGCACACTGCGTTGGCCACTTCTTTTCGAGATACTACTTGGAATTGAAGCAACCAATTAGACCGTCGAATTCACATAATGAATTTTCCTAACCCCTGGCTGTGGACCAATTTAAGGTAACAATCATCCCCCGCAGATGTTGCATCCCCTAACCAGCATCCCTTAGCCGGGATTTTCCATTGAGGGTTGATGGCGTAATTCCCATTTCGGTGCCTTGATTAAAATTCTTCCCTCTTTATGGCCATGCTAAAAGCGCACGAACATCCTATAAATGTAATGCTATCAAATCATTGGGTAACGTTCGCGAAAAATGGCGAATAGAACGTTAGAAAGCAAATTTAACGACCAACCCCCTGTAAACACAAAGCTACGTTGAAAAACTAATTGGAGAAAATTTAAGAAAGAAAGTTAAAGTTTTGCCTCTTTTAAATAAGAAATTTTAGTTGTACCTAATATTTATTTTACCAAAAAAGAAATTTAAAGCTAACATATATAGCTAATGTTCCTAACAGCTTTATATCTTTGGTTTATGCTTTTTATTATGGTTTATAATTTTCTTTGTTTTAAAGCAGTCTTGCAGTTCAAGCTTCGTAGGTAATATTAATACGATCATAACACGACCAGTAAATTTAAAATATAATATTAATATTCTCATGAGAGCATTATTGTTCTACAATGATCTCATTAAAAAGCTACTACACTTGGCTACCAAAATATGCCTAGAGCTAACAGATAAGAGCCCCGTCTGCTTTATTATTACAGAATTATTTTCAATTAAGTTTTTTAAAACGGCAGCTCAACTTCAAGAACTCTCCAGCTAGTAAGTGGCTAGCTGCATTAATGGAATCCACTTATCCGAGTGGACACTTTGCCTACGTCAGAGTCGAAATTGATTTCCGTAATCTCTGGAATACTGCATGGGGTGAAGTTGGATCATGATAGGTACTTAAGGGGAATACGAGAGGGAGCTCAACCGGGGTTCGGAGCGATAAGAGCCAGCGGCGTGATAAGATTCTCATAAATGTGGCGATCTTTAATTTGAACCGCTGCTGATACACGCTTCGTGTCTTGTTGTGTTTTTGGATTTTGTTTTCGTTTTTTACTTGCCGTATTTCTTTATTCTATACGATCGTGCTGCTCCCTATAAACCCGGTGCAGTGAGTCAGTTTGTTGTTTGCCTCAGTCGTGAGCGGACGGTCCGTGGAGATCGGCCCAGATACAAATACATAAGGCAAATACAGACCGAGAACGAAATCGATCGATTGGCGATCTCGTTTGAATTCGAACGCGGGCGAATCTAGTCTGATCGGAGATCCCCAACCGAACTGACGTTGTGCCTCCGCCAAATATACCATATAGGATATAAAATAGTAGTCTAAGTGATATCCAACACTTGCACTGGATGATTAGAGCTGGTCTCCGGGGTGCATAGAACGTAAGAAGTCGGAACAAAGCGCGACAAAGCCGAGCATACTTTATAACCTGTTTCGGATACGTCTAAATGTAAGTCCCCGAAGGTCGTTCGCTCTTTTTGAATAATTTCTGGCACTGACACGCTTGTTTGTTTTTATTCGAACTGTTGGCTTTACTTTTTGTTTTCTTTTTTATCTGCTCTCAGTGCCTTCAAATGTCCAAAATGCCAGAGACAACGTTTGCCGACCTGAGTTTGGCTGATAAGGTAAATATAACAATGGGAATAATATCATAGTGATTATTTATTAGCCACTTAAAGCCAGTAGGTGGATTGGCCAGATTCACACAACTCGTTTCTATCGCTGAACTTGGCGATTAATATAAAAAACAGCACGTGACACCTCGGCAAACAAACAACAAAGCCCCAAAGACGCTCTCTGAACAATAAAATTAATGCGAGACATTCACCTCGAAGCTTTTATACCCTTTGTGAAAGTGATCGCATGACAAATCCAGTAAAACACCTTTAATTAAGGAACTGTAATGGGGGTCAAGCAATTTTAATTATCCCAAATATAACGTGTAAACTGAAGAAAATCCCAGATATACAAAACACCATATGGCCCCAATAAATCTTACATATATTAGCCGTGCAGACTTTGCAACTTCTAATCAAAAGATTGATCTGCTGCCTCGTTAAGATCGTAGAAAAATATTATGTTCTAGATACAAGTTCATGTTTATTCCATATGGCCAGTGAAACGTAAACAACAATAGACACAATGGACAAGGTATACAGTCGTAGATTTCATTAATTCGACTGTTTACATACACTCCGGGAAGCAACCGATGGCGGTCCGGATTCGGAATCTACATATATTCGCGATTTCATACTTCTCTGAATCAATTGGCGCGACGAATTATCGCCGGTATGCTAAATGAAGCCAATTAGTGACCAGCCTCGAATGTATTCCCTTCGGCTTTTCTTTGCACTTAAATCTAGATTTGGCTGGAAACTGCGCAGAAATGAGATTCTCATCAGAAATTGATCAATCCATATACTATACATATGTGCGATTTTGGATGCCTTGTGGTCCATGGCAATTGTTAATTGGAAAGTGCAATAAATTCATGAGCCTGTGAATCGGTGCCATTACCTTTGATTATACGTGGTATCTAGTTAGTCAAGGGAGCCTAATCAAATTGATTAGCTGTATTTTGTGATTATTAACACTTGAAAATCATGCTAAATATGCACGAGTATACATTAAACTATAAGGGTAAAGAGTTATTTCCATACATAATTGTTAAATGCTGAAAAAAATTTATTTATAGTAGCTGCTTATTATTTACCCCCTATTTTGACATTAGCTTGAAGATAAACTAAGTGATCTCTTAAGATGTTTACTTGGCAGCTGTTATCATAAGTCTACCAAAAGAGTTAGGCTAACATAGATTACTTTTCCTTTTAGTTTCATTTGATTAATAAGATCCTACATATATTTTAACAGACGGCAGTGAGAAGTCCAGTATTGAAGCTCGACGGTTTTCTGATGTCCTCCACCTGTTCGTTTAGCTCCAGTAAGTACACAACTTTGAATGACCAAAAAATGTAATGTTATTATATATAATTGTGATAACCAAGTAAATAATGGTCTAACTTTCTATTTTATTTTTCTTATGCAACGTAAAGACTTTTACAGCATTGGCAAAAATCAGTTCTTTACTTTCGTTTTAATAATATAAATATTAAGAACATTAAATAAATTGATTGATCTCCCTGACAGCCTGTTTCACTGGAAGCTCCGACGAGGATGAGATCTCTCCGAAGGACAACCAGCAGCGCAACTCCGCCGGCGGGACCGACTTTTGCGTGAAGAGCATTTCGAAGAGCGCCTTTGGAAGGCGGGAGATTGAGATCGCGGATCGGAGATGCCGGGCATTATGACGCTGCGGGAAAAGGGCCAAGGATGAGAAGCCCCTGAAGGGAGCCCATATTGTGGGATGCACCCATGTCAATGCGCAGTCGGCGGTATTGATCGAAACTCTGGTTCAACTGGGTGCCTCTGTTCGTTGGGCCAGCCTGCAACATATACTCCACCCAAAACGCCGTTTCCGTGCTCTGGCAGAGCGGGATCCCAATCTTCGCCTGGCGCGGGGAGACGAGGAGGAATTCTGGTGGTGTTTGGACAAAGCCATCTACTCTGAAGGCTGGCAGCCCAACCTGATCTTGGACGACGGCGGGGATGCCACGCACCTGCTGCTGAAGAGTACCCGGGAGTACTTCAAAGCCATCCGGGCATTGTGGAAGAAAGTGTGACCGGGGTTCATCGGTTGTACATGCTCTCCAAGGGGGGAAAACTCACCGTTCCGGCCATCAACGTTAATGATTCAGTAACCAAGAACAAGTTTATACTTTCTACACGTGTCGCGACTCCATACTCGACAGGTGAGTTCGAACATTAAAGTATACAATATTATTTAATAGATCTAATAATATTTCCTATATAATCTCCTGCCAGTCTGAAGCGTACCACGGACATTATGTTTTGGTGGAAAGCAAGTTGTGATCTGTGGCTATGGGATGTGGGCAAAGGTTGTGCCCAGTCTCTAAAGGTCAAGGCTGCATAGTCTATATAACGGAGGTGGATCCCATATGCGCTCTTCAAGCTGCCATGGATGGATTCCGGGTGGTGCGGCTCAACGAAGTCATAAGGAACGTAGATGTGGTGGTAACGGCAACGGGTAACAAAAATGTAATCACCCGGGATCACATGAATCGCATGAAGAATGGCTGTATCCTCTGCAACATGGGACATTCTTGCTCGGAGATTGATGTGGTGAGTATCAGGGATTACCTGAGTATCCTAGAGATAGTTTAATATTTTTATTTTCATTTTAGAATGGCTTGCATACCCCGGAGCTGACGTGGGAGCGAGTGCGTTCCCAAGTTGACCACATCCGTTGGCCCGACGGCAGGATGATCATTCTGCTGGCCGAGGGAAGACTGGTGAATCTCTCCTGCTCCACAATTTCTTCGTTTGTGGTATCCGTGGCGTCCTCCACTCAGGCCCTGGCTCTCATTGAACTTTTCTCAGCGCCAGGAAGATACAAGTCGGATGTCTATTTGCTGCCAAAGAAAATGGGTATTTACAAATTAATACAGTATACAAATTAATATTAATTGAATCTGTAATTGCAGATGAATATGTGGCTAGTTTGCATCTGGCCACTTTCGATGCCCATTTAACGGAGCTCACAGATGAGCAGGCAAAATTCATGGGCTTAAACAAAGCCGGGCCTTTCAAAGCAAATTACTACAGGTTGGTAACTTTTATTCTCTTTAAAAACCATCTCCTTAATAAACAATTTTTATTTCATTCACAGATATTAATCAGTATTTTATGTTTTATCATGTTATTCTCGTTGTGTAATTTTGATATTAATTAGAAAATAAATATGAATATACACAAATT